TCTTTAGTAGTTTAAAAAATGTTAGGTTGATACAAAAGTAATTATGGTTTTCGCATTGTTGAAATTTGCCATTTGATATTGGAATACGTTCTTAAATAAATGTGGCTCTGTTATACCTCATTTTAATGCACATTTCTCACTGTATTTTTTTTGCTAATGGCTTATTACTTGCTGTTTATATTTATTTTAGACTACGGAAATTATGTTAGACAAAAAGCAAATTTGAGCGATTTTCTTGAGTTCAAAATGGGTTGTAAAGCAGCAGAGACAACTCACAACGTCATCAACTCATTTGGCCCAGGAACTGCAATGAGGGTACAGTGCAGTGGTGGTTCAAGAAGCTTTGCAAAGGAGATGAGCGCCTTGAAGATGAGGAGAGTAGGGGCTGGCCATCTGAAGCTGACAGTAAATAGTTGAGAGCAATCATCCAATTTGATCCTCTTAAAACTATACACGAAGTTGCGGAAGAACACAACGTTGACTATTCTGCGGTCGTTTGGCATTTGAAGCAAATTTGAAAGGCAAAAAAAAAACTCCATAAGTGGGTGCCTCATGAGCTAAGGGAAAATTTTTAAAAATCGTCATTTAGAAGTGTCGTCTTCTCTTATTCTATAAACGAATTATTTATTGATCAGATTGTGATGTGCGATGAAAAGTGGATTTTACAGGACAACTGGCAATGACCAGCTCAGTGGCTGGACTGAGAAGAAGCTCCAAAGCACTTCCCAAAGCCCAACTTGCACCGAAGAAACAGTCATGGTCCCTGCTGGGTGGTCTGCTGCCCGTCTGAGCCACTACAGCTTTCTGAATCCCACCAAAGCCATCACATCTGAGAAGTTTGCTCAGCAGACTGATGAGATGCAGGGAAAACTGCAACACCTGCAGCCGGCATTGGTCAACAGAAAGGGCCCAGTTCTTCTCCACAACAGACTGCACGTCGCAGAACCAGCACTTCGCAAACTGAACGGATTGGGCTGTGAAGTTTAGCCTCATCTGCCGTATTCACCTGACCTCTCACCAACTGACTATCACTTCTTTAAGCATCTCCGCAACTTTTTGCAGGTAAAACACTTCCACCACCAGCAGGATACAGAAAATGCTTCCTAAGAGTTTGTTGAATCCTGAAGTATGGATTGTTTTTTTTTTTTTTTAAGACAAAGTCTCACACTGTCGCCCGGGCTGGAGTGCAATGGCATGATCTCAGCTCACTGCAGGCTCCATCTCCCAGGTTCAAATGATTCTCCTGCCTCAGCCTCCCGAGTAGCTGGGATTACAGGCACTTGCCACCATACCCGGCTAATTTTTTGTATTTTTGGGAGAGATGATGTCTCACTGTATTGGTCAGGTTGGTCTCCTCGAACTCCTGACCTCATGATCTGCCTGCTTCAGCCTCCCAAAGTGCTGGGATTACAGGCATGAGCCACCGCACCCGGCCGACATGGAGTTTTATGTTACAGGAATAAACAAACTCATTTCTCATTGGCAAAAATGTTGATTGTAATGGTTCCTACTTTGATTAATGAAGATGTGTTGGAGCCTATTTATAATGACCTAATGTTCATGGTCTGAAACCCCAATTACTTTTGTACGTTTTTTTTTTTTGAGATGGAGTTTCGCTCTTGTTACCCAGGCTGGAGTGCAATGGCACGATCTCGGCTCACCGCAACCTCCGCCTCCTGGGTTCAGGCAATTCTCCCGCCTCAGCCTCCTGAGTAGCTGGGATTACAGTCACGCGCCACCATGCCCAGCTAATTTTTTGTATTTTTAGTAGAGACGGGGTTTCACCATGTTGACCAGGATGGTCTCGATCTCTTGACCTCGTGATCCACCAGCCTTGGCCTCCTGAAGTGCTGGGATTACAGGCGTGAGCCATGGCACCCGGCCTGTACTATTTAATTATTCGGTGTGTCTTGTTTGCTTTTTATTTTTGGATGTACAATTTTCCAATATTTAGAGTTTGTCGTGTTATTTGTTGCAAATATGCAGATCACTAAAGAGTTTGCATCTTTATCCTACTTCTTTCCTTTATATGTGAAAACTGTTATAAATTTATTATTCTAATTAAAACCATGTAATGCATTGTGCTTAGTGTGCTATTTCTTTAAACAGAATCTCTCATTTCAGTTTGATAATTCTCTTTCCATTCCTCACGGTTTCATCCATCATCTGACTGTATTAATAATCTCTTTTTGTGCTTACCTTTGTACTGTTGAATATAATAATTTTGTCCATTTTTTGATTTATCAACTTGAAATAATATTCTTTAACTTCGTGTTATTATAGAAGCAGGAATACGTGAACATACTCTGCTCCCATATTCTTTCATCTTTCTGCTTCCATTTCTTGCTATTTGTATCATGTCAACACTTGTAGGGCCTCTGGGAATTGTAGGGGGTAAAATGCCTTTGTTCTCATTTTCATCCCCCTCTGGAGGTCCTGTGGTTTAACAAGCTCTGTTCTGCTAAGTGATTTACCACTTCTCCACCCACTTTTGGTCTTCCAATTGTTTTGACATCTTTTGTCCTCTGTGTTTTCCATTCTCGTTCTCTTTGTTCTTGTATATTTATACTGTTCTTTTCACCATGCTGTCATTCTATTGGCATTTTGAGAGGGTGAGGTAAAACACAGGCATTCTATCTTCCATATTTAACAAAAATATTCAAATAACTCCCAAATAACTCATTTTGAAAAAGAAAAGTTTTGCATTAAAAGTCCAGAAGAAGCACAGACATTTTACATTCTATATGATCTCAGCTATATTAAATATAATTTCATGATTTTGTGATTTCTCTACCTAGTTACCATCTTCTGATTTATATTTGCCAATGTTCTGCATTTTATGCAATGGTCATTTATTTTTAAAAATTATTTTCTTTTTTTAAAACAAAAACAAAGAGGGGAGAAAACTCTGTCTCTTTCCCTGACAAGGACACCAGTTCTATCGCTTAAGGGCTCCTCTTTTGTAACTCCATTTAACCTCAATCACCTCCTTAAAAGGCCCCATCTCCAACACAGCAACATGGGAGTTAGTTTCAACATTTGAATTCTGACGCAATTCCGTATGGACGTAACTCCACAGCAGCTCATGTGGCAACGATCCACGCCATGACCAGCACTTCACAAGCCCCTTCCCTGGAGGTCACTGTTCTCCTAATTTTTGGTACTTTTTCTTGCCTTTCTTTATTGATGTTTTTTACTTCTTAAGTATGCATCCATAATGAAATAGTTTAGTTTTGCTTGATTTCAAATTTTATATAAATGAACCGTGTTTATGTAATCCTTTGCCTTTAGGTTTTTGTGTTCAGTATTAGGTTCTTAAGACTAATCCTTATTGTTGTGCAAGACTAAAGTTTGTTTTATTTTATTTTTTGTTTTAGATGGAGTTTCACTCTTGTTGCCCAGGCTGGAGTGCAATGGCGTGATCTAGGCTCACCGCAACCTCCACCTCCTGGGTTCAGGCAATTCTCCTGCCTCAGCCTCCTGAGTAGCTGGGATTACAGGCACGCGCCACCATGCCCAGCTACTTTTTTGTATTTTTAGTAGAGACGGGGTTTCACCATGTTGACCAGGATGGTCTCGATCTCTCGACCTCGTCATCCACCTGCCTCGGCCTCCCAAAGTGCTGGGATTACAGGCGTGAGCCACCGTGCCTGGCCTGATACTTGACATTTTAAAATGCCAGCATCGATGGTATTTTTAAAAAATATTTTCTATTTGTTCATAGTGTATATACACAATTGATTTATGTATGTTAATTTGTACCCAGCTACCTTACTATACTCTTTAATTCTAACAGTTTCTTTCTAGGATATGTTGGATATTTTATAATATCCAACAATCTTATTATCTGTAAACTGTATCTTTGGTAGTTTTTTTCTTCTTAAACTTTTCTTTCCTTGCTTTATTATGCTGGCTAAGTCCTCCTTCACAAAGTGGAACTGAGAAGAACAGACATCTTTGTTATTTTTTTCTGTTGATTTCAAAGGGAAAGCTTTCCACATTCACAATGAAGTATGAAGCTTGATGCTTTAAAACAATGAATGCCCTTTATCAGAATGATGCAGTTCCCTTCCATTCCAAATTTCTAAGAGTTTAAATTCATACATGGAAATTGAAGTTTATCAAATGACTTTTAGCATCAATTAAGAAGACTATGTGATTCTTCTCCTTTAATCTATTAATAGAAATAGAACATATTTTTATTGTGGCATGCATTACTGTTATGGTTAGCAAAAAAAAAAAAAAGTTGGAAAAAAAGAAACCTCTGCAAAACACCAATTATTATACCCACAGGTATGTTAGGTTCAAGCTGGAGTGGGAGCATCCCTCCCAGATATGTGGATATGGGATATTTTTGGAAAGTTCTCACATTCTAAAACTATAGAGGTTTCATCCACTAACCTAGGGAAATAGAATAACCTCGAGAATACTAAGGTTCCTTTGAGGTATATGAAGCATGATAACTTAAACAGCTTCATTTATGAGCTATTTCCTAAATATATCTCAGAGCCATTTGTTCTTAGTTCTGTCTCAGTTTCGCTCCTGTCTCCCTTTCATAGTAGGCCTTCTCAAAGGCGTATCTTCTCTAAGACATACACTTGTGTGTGCATCTAGCAGGTGAGTGTGTGTGTGCGTGTGTGTGTGTGTGTGTGTGTCAGAGGCGAGGGGACTCATCTTCCTAGACCACCCTAGACTAATGAAATTAGAAATTAAACTTTTTGGGGCTGGGACTCAGGCACTTAACAATTTTCCCTGAAAATTCCAATGTGCAGTCAAGGTTGAGAACCACTAATCTGTATCTCCTTGAAGCTGAAAATCGTATGTGTGTTTATGAAACAAAGTTCACAGAAGAAGAGACCTAGTTATCACAAAGACAAACAGATAACAAGATTCGGCATTATCCACATGAGGCCTGGTGGGATGACTAAAAGACAAAGACTGCCAAGTGAAGGAAGAAAAGCAAAGGGAGGAGGTACCATAATGATAGCAAATCTACTCACTCAATCTTCTCTGGAAGCTCAGTTTGGGTCATGCACACACAATTGACCAGAATAGTGACGGTAATAAATAAACTGAACCACCTGGGAGGCCTGTGTTAAGGAAAAGCTGAGATCACCAAGTCTCTGTGATGTCATCTAGGATCACTTTGATGCTGAATGATTACATTCATAACTCTTAGCTAATAGTAGCTTTATGATCTTGTCACATAGTAACTACGTTACTTCTAATACAGCTAATCTACAGGTGGGTATTAATGTCCACATTTGGGAGCTGAGAAAACAGGTTGACAAAAAATAAAGGTTAAATAGCTTTTCCCAGGTCACGCAGCTATCAACCATGCTGCAGAGATGTGAACTTTAGCTGTCTGATAACAGACTCTGAGCAAGATGGAAGGAAATGTATTCTGTGCTCCAAAATGTCCTTCTGCCTCAAACCCTTCATTTCACTATACAAAGTGGCCTGAAATTTTATCTGGAAAATGTCATTTTATTCTAAACGACAGAGAGAAGTTAGAAACTTGGAGATAAGTGAAGGGGAACGAGCTTTGGTGGGGATTAGTTTCATCAGATTGCTTGCATAACTTAGATGAGATCAGTTCCACCGAGGAAATGGTCTTCTGGCTAGGAACGGTGGAGGCAGGCACAGGGAAGTGAAATACTGGCTCAGGAAGAAAACCCCAAAGAGGATTAGGCTGCAGTGGAGAACTCTGAATAGCCAGAGCAGAGAATATTGACAGCAGACAACGGGCCAAGGGATCACCAGAAGTGGAAGAAGACGTTGGGAGGAAGGTGGGTGGAAGGGGTCAATAGAAGGGAAGATACACTGGTGGGGAGAATCTAAAGGTAAATTGTTCTTGCTCGGGCATTTTTCTCAGGAATAGCTGGGCTCCTAACAGTACTTCCCAAGGAAAAACAAAGCTTGAAAATGAGCTTGACCTACAGAAAGAGTATAATACTCATTTTTCATAATTTCAATTTGAGCAGAAGTATTTAAATGTATTTTAGTTTTCTGGAAATGCCTTGATGTGTCTGGTTTTACAGTTACTTAGGAACACATCTGTTTTGAAAGGGACAATTCTATTAATTAAAGCACATTTTTCTGTTGGCTTACAATTACATTAAGAAAGATGCTCACATTGGGGGAAATGCTAACCCAAGGATTAAATTAAAACTGTGTCCCCAGTTCTACAAACCCCTAAAAGTAATACATCTTATGTGTAATATCACTTGTGAAAACACTCAAAGCAAATGTGGCTGGAGTTATATTTTTGGCGAAATATTAATAATAGGGCCTTGAGAATTCTAGCATCGTTTGGGGTTGGAGTTACCAAATTTAATAAATTTAAATGCAGACTTTTGTGAGTAAGAGACCCCCTCAACAGCTTTTCTGTCCAGCGATGACTCTACTAAGCAATTATTTACTCATCAAATCTCAAGATGAAGAGAATATTCACCGGTCACTTGGTTCTTTTAAAGGGATTTTATTTCTAATTAGCTGTTTCTTACTTATCCAAATGTAAGAATCCATAAAGAGGAGTTTGTATGTTTGCAGGTCTCTTTATTTGTAATTTCCGTGTAATTGTATGTATTTTGAAAAAACAACAGCTACCCAAGCAGAGATGACACATTGAGAGAATAATTACCCTGATTACTTTCCGTTAACTGCCTACTTCCTCACTGCAGATACTGCTCTATGTAGGAGGCAGGCTGGACTTCTTAACTAGCTGTGTGGTCTTGGATAATTCACTTAGTGCCCCTGTGTGTCAGTTTCATCATCTGTAAAATGGGGATGCTGATCTCTCCTTCAGAGGCTTTTGAACCAATGACAGTGTTGACATTTAGAAAGTATTTAGCAAGTGGGGGACTGCTATTGTCATTAAATATTCTTCTGTGGATCTGAAATTCCAAGATTCAGCTCAGAAAATATAATTCTTACTGGTTACCCATAAAGAAAAAAAATGTCAAAAGAGAAAACATAATGCAACTTCATTGAGCATGCAGCTTCATGTTGAGTGTGCAGATAGATGATTGTGCCAAGGTTACCAGCTCAGTGAGAACTGTCCTGAAATCCAACAGTCTGCCTCAGAGTTAGGGAGCAGGGTAGAGCTCTTTTTTACCAGAGCCTTCTAAGAAGAGGCTGGTTACCATCTGTCAGGCGACTCAGGCAGATCTATTCTTGCACATCAACCTCCTGGAAGCCAGGGCTAAATTCATCCTAAGGAACTTCCAATCCTTCCAGTGACCAAGGATCTTAGGTCATCAGGATCTTTCCATTAGGACCAGCAGGGAAGATCATAGGAAACCAAACCAAAGTCTCTTTTTTCTGCTAGTTTGGCTTGCCCTGCAAAATCCCCTGAAGGCAGCTCCCAACACTACCTAAAACAATATAATAGACATTTGACGAATGTGTCTCTAATCTTTACATTCTTGTGTGGCATGAACCTTGGACTGTCGACATTTTAAACCTGCTAGTAGTTTTCGAGTAATTTGTGATGTTAACAGTGCCCCATGACCAATGAGGTCCCTTTGAGACTATGTGTGCTCTTCCCATCAAGGTCTGTTTTCCCTGCCCTCTGGGAGGTGCTGCTCTTTTGCCCAGTAAGCAGCTACTTCTCAGCATGGCTATGGCACAGAGTAACAACCCATGCCTATCTCATCTGCCCAGAGAAGGCTTGCAGCCCTCTTACTGCCTGTTATGTGTGGGGAAAGCGGGCCACATAGGGTGGTGAGAATGTTTCGGGGGGCATCAGCAAACCTCCCCTCATAAAGAGAACATTTTTCAAGTCGTGCATGCACAGGTGTGTCTAGATTAGTCTGAGGTGAATCCAAACCCCCTGTGTGCTGCATGAACACTTCCTCTGTGTCTTGGGACTGCTTTGGGGTACGGCACACATTAAAGCTATAAACCATTTTTTCAATCTAATGACCTCATTGTCTTTTGGGGATTCAGTTGGAGAAGGGCTCTGTTGCTAACCTCTAAAGCAGGTACCAGACACAGTGGGCAAGGTCTAATTCTAACACATGGAAGAGGCAATAGTGCAAAGGATATGAGTGGACAGACACTTTGATGGCCGTTCTTCTGATCAGGTTGAAAGGACTGAATAGCCACAGGGCCCGAGTGGCACTAAACCGGGAAATGGTCCTCCCTTTGTTCAGCACCATAAATGTCTAAAACAAAACAAAACAGAAAGTGGACCTCCAATGAGAAACAAGATTTCTTATGCAATCATGTTTTTAAACGTGAGTGGCATCACCTGAGGCTCATGAGCAAGAAGGGCTCTGGAAACCACAGGCCAACGAGAGCCAAATGGAGGTACAGAGAGGTAGAGAGGATCGAGGACTAAAAGCTATATCCCTGCCCTCTCAGCAAGGTCCTGGTCTTTGGAGCTGACAGGATGATGAGCTCCAAGATAAGCATGCTGAGGGTGCTTTAATGGACAGACAGCTGATCCGCAGGCTGGTAAGATGTAGTATGCCCAGGGGAGAGTACCAGCAGCAGGATGGTGAAGTTCTGGCTGGATTTAATTTCTCTGCTGATTAGAGAACCATCCCAGTTTCGTAATGTTCCTTCTGTTTCCATCTTCTAGGTCTTTGCCTCTTAAACCCTCTCCTATTTTCTTACTCTGAGCATTTAGGAGGATATGAGCTCTTGGCATGGGAGAGGAGGGAAAAAGATGGTCCAGTGCCTTTTTGTTTACTCTGCCAGCCGTATTTGAGATGGCTGATTCCTGGCCTCCTAACTCCCAAACATGTATTCACCATTTTTCGGCTGTGTAGGACATCTAAAATACAATATAGGTGAGATAATCGTCATGAAGAAGCCCTTGTTTAAACTTGTGATTCTCAAACTTTTTGATTTCAGGGATTATTACTCTCAAACCTTATCGAGGACCCCAAATAAGTTTTGTTTATGTCTATACCTTTTTGTTTATGCCATACACATGTATATCATATTAGAAATTAATGTACATATAAGTATATATGTTTATATACACAGGAATATACAGGCACACATTCTGGTAGTTGTTACAGTGATGGCACCATCCCCCACTGGTAGTTTACATTCACCAAGGTATGATCATAAGAGAATGTGTGTGAAAAATACAAATTACAGCCAAGTATTGTCAGGAAATAGTTTTGATTTTATAAACCTACTGAAAGAGTTTTGGGGACACTAGGGGTTCCAAGATCATAGTTGGGGACCACTGGCTTAAATCATCCTGTTTTCTGTCCCCATCCCCACACTCTTCCCCCAAGCTCAAGATGTCTGCTCTCTACCTGCAAAAGGAGCCAACTCCTCTGGAGGCCCCAGGCCAGAGCTCTTCCAAGGGAACCATCAACTTTCCCTGCAAGCTCTGCAGCAGGTATCTGCTTTTGGAGGTGTGGGTTTAGTTAGCTTCCATCATAAATGTAAAAGATTCAAAGAGATCGTCAAAGAAGTTAGATATTGTTTTGTTCATGGGGTCCTGAGCAGACTGCCACACCACCCAGGGCTCAGGAGACTTCCCCGGCTGGGTGGCTTGAGACTTCCTCTCCAAGAGCTGAGAACAGACATTCCTACCATAGCTCTTACCCGGTGTGTGCTGTAGAAGGTGTCTAGATCCTCCAGGGGCTCCCCGATCAGTTCTGCTGGGAGCTCACCATAGAACTTGGGCAGCTGGTTGCAGGCTTTCAAGTCTAGCTGGGGCCGCAGCTTCTCCTCCTGGTCCTTCTGCTCCCTGTGCTTCTCTCTGGTTTTCTTTGCTGCCTGCTGGGCAGCAATTTGCTTCTCTATCTCCACCAGCGACTCCGGAGTAAAGCGACGGAAGTTGTTAGTTTCGAGGGACCCAATGGGGAGTTCCATCTTCTCATTCTTCTTCAGGAAGTAGTTGTACTCTTTAAGAGTGGACATAACCACAGAGAGGTGACAGTTTGCCCACTGGTCCTGTCCCTCTCATCTGTCCCATCTTGATTGTGGGAACAGCCTCCCTCCCACCCTCATACCTGGCTCCTCCCTCGGCTCACACTGAGCCCCTGCCATTCCCCTGCAACGCTCTCAGGGAGGGCTTTTATTCCACCCTACTCCAGGTGCCTCAGGGTGAGGTCTTTGCTCCCCATGTGCTTCCATGTCACTGTTTCTTCACCACTTTGTCCCATCCTACCACCACCACCAGATTTAGCCATGCTGTCCTCTCTCCTTATTTCCAGGACCGCTGAGCTCCAGGCACTCTCCCATATTCATCAAAGACTTTGGTTTATTTAAGTCTCTCGCCACTTTCCTATCACAACCTTTTATTTATTGACATTGTCAACATTTCCCCCCCGGTCTGAATTTCATTCAGACTTCCAGGTTACTGGAGAACTCGGGATTACTGGAGAATTTCATTGGGACCTCCAGGTTCAGTCTACGGCTGAACACGTCTCTCCATAACCAGATCAGACCTGTGGTCCACATTTAGCCACTCCCTGACCCTTATCCTAAATCTGAAGCCGAAGTCAACCTAGAACAATCCCCCCGAACTGCTGAGGGGTGATGGGGAATCTCAGCACCGCCTGGGAATCCTCTGGTTTCCCTACTCAGCAGTTTCTTCTAGTCTGAGGTCTCCAATATACTCTTTTCTGTCTGTTCCCTGTCTTCTCTCTGGGACAGAGAGAAGGCCAATGACCACATTTCCTAGTTCATGGAGAAAAACGGAACTCTGGCAACTTCATGCCATTAAACCTCTCACTCACCTGCCTCTGCAGCCTTCTCTCCTTCCCTTCTGTTACAATGTGAGAGGTGTCATCCCACATTCTGAGGACCACGCCTTTCCCCTTGCTTACAATCCTATCTCCTAGCCACCTCATTTTTCTCTCTCTCCTTGTCTCCCAGCTCTTTCCTATCAGCATTTAAAGATGTTTAACTTTTCTTCAACTTTAAAAACTCTCCCTTGATTCTGAGCCCATCCAGGTCTTCCTTCTCTCTCCTCCTGTTCTCCGCTGGGTTTTAATAAAGAAGTTACTTCTACTCACTGCTTCCAGTCACTCTTCAGTCTTTGAAGCCTGGATTTTGCCCCCATATCTCACTAAAAGTCCTCCTTGCAAGAATACAAGAGAACTCCTTGTGGCTGAAGTCAGGAGGCCCTTCTCAGTTCTTAACTTTTTTTTTTTTTTTAGGCAGGGAATCACTGTCACCCATACTGGAGTGCAGTGGTGCAGTCTTTGCTCACTACAACCTCTGCTTCCTGGGCGCAAGCGATTCTCCCACCTCATCCTCCTGAATGGCTGGACTACAGACTCAGCTAGTTTTGAAAAAATTTTTGTAGACACAATGTACCACTATATTGTCCAGGTCCATCTCAGTTCTTGTGTTGATGGCCCTATTGGCTGTTTTGACAATGTTCTCCTTAAAACACTGCCCCTCCTTGGCTACCACGACACTCTCTTGGTTTTTGTAACTTTCTATCTTCTCCTTCTCGGTCTCTCCTTTCTCAGCTTCTCCCATACATGATTGTGAATATTGGCGCTCTACCTTTTGTTTTCAGAATAACAACAATAGTAACAACTTCAGCAGCACTAACTAGCATTTACTGAGATTCCACTGTATTTCAGACTCTTGATTAAGCAATTTTCATGCATTATTACATCAACTATCACTGTACCTGTGAAGTGTAATCTCCAATATATAAATAAGATGCCAGAGCAGCACAGTTAAATTTTCCAAGATCACATTACTAATGAGTGGCAGAATGGTCCTTAAACCCAGGGACATTTGCCACAATCTCTTGGGGCATCTCATCATTCCCATGTCTCTGCTTCTCATTTATATGCAGATGACTGAGTCTTTATGCGAGGCTCTCAGAAGTCCATGGGGCTCAGATCTTCATTTGACCTTTCCACTTGAGTGTCTCCTGAGCACCTCAAACTCAGCATGCCCCAAACTAAACTCATTAGCATCTGCCCACTTCTTTCTAATATCTGCCTCTCCTCTATGTCTTTGTACTGCCATTGGCCCCAAACAGCCTGTTTCTGTGTCTGTTCACAACCTGGGTACCATAATTATGCCCTTTCTATTTCATCTCCACATACAATCAGACATCTAGTGCTATTGCTTCTGTCTCCTTAGTATCTTCTCTTCATGTCTCTCCAGGATCTGCATTATACTGCCAGTCCAGTCACCGTCATCCCACTGGCCTCCTATGTGTTACTTTTATTCCCATTTTGTCCTTTCTAACCCATTCTCCAACTGTAGCCAAGTGATCTTTCTAAAATGCAAATCTGGTTGTGTGATATCTTTATTTACGATCCCTTTAAAGCTCTCCGTAGCACTCAAGATAACCCAAGCTGTGTGCTGACCTCTCTAGCGCAGTGGTCCCCAGCCACACTACTTTTATAAGTTTCTCCTTGAATTTGATCCATACTTTTTTATGTTAAGGCCTTTCCATATTCCACTTCTTTTGCCTAAAATTATCCTCCCACCTTGTTTCGCCTGGCTAATCCTCTCTCATTCTTGTACTCCACAATTTCTTCCATTTCTGACCTATACGAAATCTATGTTACGATTCCTGTTTCACGTTTCCATAACTTTCTGCACTTTCTCTATAAACCCCTGCTCTGGAATTTCTGTTTGCCTTTCTGTTGTTTCTACCAGTTGCAAGCTCAGTGAGGGCTAAACTCACATCTATTTTGTTCAGCATCAATTCTCCAGAACCTAGCACGGTGCCTGGCATGCAGTAGACACAGAATAGACATTTGTTGAATGAACAGAGGTAACCACAAAGCTTAACAGCTGAAAAACTGAAAGAACATTTTGTTTAGAAAAATGCAGCAAAAATCACAGATCCTGTCATAGGAATATAAGGATTGACATCTTAAAGCTAACATACCCCAAAGTCAGGCAGATGGTGGCAGAGGCAGTGCTTAAATCAAACACCCCTGTGATAGAGTTCTTGCTTGCTCCCACCATACCTAGATGTATCTCTTGAATCCAATGCCTTGTGATATAGACCCTGCTTATTGTCACCAGCCCTAGAGGCAGCTCCTGTACCCAGTACCTACATGTGGGAGGCTCTGCTGGTTGAAGTCCTGGGAGGAGCTCTCACTGCTCTGACATCATTTCTCTTCCTTAACGTCCTCCATGACTTTCTTCTGGAAACTTTCCCTGACCCCCTCCTTCTCCACCTGCCTATTTGTATTTGATCTGTCTCTTAGTGAGCTTTTCATAGTCAGTCTACATTACATAATTGAACATCTGTCTTCTCTTTTCTTCTAACTTAGTTCTATGCGCTGTGTGCCCAAGTCCTGATTAACATGGTGTATTTATGTAATGACAATTGAGACACTGTTGACTTCAGTGTCTTTGATTATTCCCTTCAGAGAAACAAGGACTAAGTTAACTTTCCCTTCCTTGTCTAGAGGAGAAGAGATGTTTAGGGTTTGGAATCATATTTGAATCCCAGGACTCAGTTGTTTAGTAACAATGCAGGAATTTCTGGATTGTTGTGGAATGCAATATTGAGGATTGAAAACAGGATTAAGCCAGAATTCCAGGTCCTAGAGCTGGGGCTTGAGGTAAAAGCAGACTCAGCCATGAAACTGACTTGGTGTCAAATGTCCATAATCTTCTGGGCTACCGTAAATCCCTCTGGTAAAGGACAAGGTTGTTTTCAACATTGGGGTGGGAATTGGCAGCAATGTAATGTAGGTATGAAGGACCAGTCCTCCTTTTAAGACTTCCCATTAGTAGTAATAGCTCTGGACTTGAGATTCCTTGATTGAAGTGGTTCTCTATCTTTCCATCTGTTACCCGGTGTCTTTATATGACGCTCTGAGGAAAACATTGGGGTGCAAGTAGTTTATCTGAGAGCTATTTCCAAGAATGTCATAGAAGAGTGGAAAAGTAAGATAGGGAGAAGAAAGCAGTATTTTTACGAGCAGTTTACTCTTATGGGCAAACCAGGCTCAGAATTGATTCACTGAGGGGTAAGGATACCAGGGTTTTATCTACCAGTCCTGCCCCTTATTGGTTGGGGTCATCCAGGGATTTTAGCTCTACAGAACTTACTTCAGTGGCCAGAGAAAGCCCTGGGCAGAGAGAGGCAGGAAGCCACATTGTAGGAAGTGTCTGCAGGTGACCTCTCAGCTAGGTCCTGGGGATATGAGCAAGGTGCAGATAGTGACTGCTACAGTCCTTGCAACCTTAATTGGGAATCCTTATTTTAGGGTTCATTTGAATGTAGTGGGGAAGGCATGTCCTTTGTGATGACTGAGGAGGAGACAATCCAAGAAACATCTATTCTAGTTTGGCTCCAAGCTCAGCCCTGGCTTTTAAATAGTCTGCATGAGTTTTTGCAGGTATATTCCCTTAAGTTTAGTAGCTGTTTCTGCTAAGCAAGCCTCTCTATTCGGTGGGCATTCAGCCCTCCCAAGCTGAACAAACAGTGATATTTGGTTCCTTTTGTCTCCTTTTTTTTTCTTTCTGTTGCCCAGGCTGGAGTGCAGTAGCACAATCACAGCTCACTGCAGCTTTGATGTCCCAGGTTCAAGCGATCCTCCCACCTCAACCTCCCAAGTAGCTGGGACTACAGGTACAGGTATGTGCCACCATGCCTAGATAATTTGTATTTTTCACTGGGTTTCACCATGTTGCCCAGGCTGGTCTCAAACTCCTGGGCTCAAGCAGTCTGCCCATCTCAGCTTCCTGAAGTGCTAGGATTACAGGTGTGAGCCACTGTTCCCAGCCTCTTTTTGCCTTCTTACTATCAGGTGGGAGAGGATCTTTCTTTATTGCTCTTCTCTAAAGATCCCATGTCTTCCAGAACCTGTAGGATCTCCTGTGGAAGGCTGAGCTTCCTGAGTACTAACCTGAATGATGGCGGAACAGATTAGCTATAGGGCCAGTGCTTTCCTCTCTGA